GGCACATTGCTGCCCCAACAGGACAATGGCTTGTGCATAATTTCATGAGTATTGTGCTGCGTTGCGTTATACATAAGTTAGGCTGTCGTTGGACATAGGCTCTGAACTCATTATAAATACATAGAAAGTTCAGTGTATGCCAGTGTTTTAGAAGATTCTGGGACGTCAGGCATACACTGTCTTAATCAACAAAGTGTGACAAGGCCCTGAGAGCTAATCATTTTTAAATGGGGACAAATGCAGCAGCGTAACATCAGTTCACCACTAGTCATGTCTCTGTTGTTTCTATATTTATCCTGTGGTTTCATTTATTTAAATATGTTTGTATTTCTTTTTAGTTGTAATTTGTTAAGTAGCTATATTTTTGTGTCTGCATATCAAATAACTTTGTTATTTACTGTAAGATAAGTCTAAAAGAATACCCTTAACTAAAAACCAATTGCATGAACTACCCAATGGATGAAATGTCTTGTTCACTGTAACACAGGTGACTTTAGAATATATCCGTGCCCCTTGAAGTTTCTTCACGTTTATTGACATGCATGCCGTTTCAAAAAAGAGTTTGGAAGAGATCTCAGATATATATTTTTTTTATATCAGCCCTTTAATTTTAATTCTGTCCTTTTTACTGTGACACAACTAAAATACATAATCTAATGCATCAAAATCCACTCACCAGAGATGTATTAACAGAGAGGACTTTTCCATAAAAAATAATTGCTTATACAAAGATTAGAGTGAGGACTTTACATAAATTGTAATGCCTTTAGTCCTATTTGCATTATGTCAATTTAATTATGTGAGAAACTACCTCTATAAAACTGGAAGAACTAAAAGGAGTGGGGGGAAAACAGAGAAATTATTGCTGTGACACCTATATCTTTATACACCTATTAATGCATTCAAGCATAAACTGCATAGGTTTATACTAAATTAGAAGGAATAAAAACAACCACATGAGTCATGACCATCTGTTCTCAGTGTATTTGAACATGTGAGCATCAGATGTAGCATAAATGCCTTTTAATAGATTACACTATTATATCTTGTTAAATTAGGATGTTATATGTATCCATTACAGTTGAGGTGTATAAAGATGTTTTTGTTTTGTTTTTGGTTAGCTACCATCATTATTTTTATGTTCTTGCATGAACTTGTTCTTTATTTCATCCACGATGATTGGTAAGAGTGAGCCTCTTCTCAGAGGGTATTAATCTTTTAGTTATTGTCTTTATGCACACAACTTTTACCATCCTTAAATGTATAGATGTTGCTGGATTAGAAATATATGATTTCATCAGGTATTTTGTAATATTAACATTCTGGGATAATGTAAAACATATGAAGATTTCAGTATTTGAAATACATAAATATGATATTATTCGCTACTTCTCTAGACTGAACTTGAATGTGTGCTAATGTGAAAAACTATTCTGGTGACCTGAAATACATAAAAACAATATCACGTAAAAATTTGAAATATGTGGAAATCGATTAGTGACATATGAAACAAAACTCTTTCTCCAAGCTTTTTTTTATTATATATTTGGTATAGTAACATGAAATACTTGAATACTGTATTCGGTAATTAAATGTGAAAGATAATGACATTGTGTACAAAGCAGTGTTGCACCGATACGGATACCAGTTTCGGGCGGGGCCCTGATCCAGCACTAAATGGTGGCATTGGTATCGGCGAGTACCAACAAATAGGGCACCAATACCATTTTGAGAGCCAAAAGTTTATTCAACTATTGTCACCCATTCCAGGTAGGCAGTCAAAAGTTCTACTGGATTCACTTTGTATTAGTCTTTTTCCTGCTTCACAAAGGTAGGCAGCAGCTTGACAAAGCCATGATGGCAATTATTTTACATCCAAGTACAGTAGTATGCAGTCCTTCATATATACACACACACACATCAATTTCAAACACATGTCCTCGGTATGGTATCGGTAGATACTGCACAGCCAGGTATCGGTATCGGGGCCAAAATATGGCATCAGTGCAACACTAGTGCAAACACATGGAAGTTGCATTGCTTTTAAAAAAGTGAAACAGGTGGAAAGGCTATTTGTGTGAGGAAGGTTTTTCATATGCTACTACTTGATAAAATGTGGAATATTTTCTTGGATCACAAATGTATCTGAATTTAACTACAGAAGATTTGCTTTTATTCATTCCACGTAACAATTATTAATATAGACATTAAACAAAAATAAACATAATGCAACAAATCCCACTACTTTATTTGAAACTGACTAGTTTCTGTTTCCTAAATAATCAGAGTAAATTCTGCCACCAACCCATTATTAAGGACATTTACAAGTCAAATATATAGATCATAGATCTGGTCCTCATACTAAATAAGCAACATACACTAATCAAGGTAGAGCAAAGTGTGTTAGTAATTCCTCCATATAGAGCTTTTTATTGCCCAAAATGCCAACATATTGATCTCCCCTTCATTTTTCTTTGTCTTTTCTTTTAAAGACCCAATTAGGAGGATGTTTCCGTGACATTTTAATAAAACTGGTGCTAGAGAATCTTAAATAAATTCCAATAACAAACAGCCATCAGCTAACAGTGAAACAGCCACTGAAATTAAATGTCTCGACTGAAGTAGAACAGTGTAATTGGAAATTAATAAACTCATGTTTCTTTGTTATGTAGATGTGTGTGTTTAGGTGTGTATACTCACCTCTCGCCACTGTTTGGTTTCAACACCCTGCGTGTAAAGTACACACACTGTGGGGGGGGGACAAAACAGCAAATTAAAAATGTGAGATTTGGTGAAGGGAAATGAAAGAGAAAAAGACAGCCAGTTTGAACAAAAGTTAAAAGTTAAGTTTTAGCTTTAACAGCTCTCAAGATAAATCAAGTTTCTATAATCTGTGCAAAAAAACTAAACATGAAAGAGGAAAAAGGTCATAAAACCCAAAACCCTGATGTAAACAGTGTTTTAAAAGGTTTGAATAGAACAAATTACCAATAAAAGCTGGTCTTTATATGGTACTTACTTGGATCAGACTTTGAGAAGGTGTCTTTATCCAGCAGGTTTCTGGAGGAGAAACAGAGGATAAATAAAACAATTAATGCTGCTTCTGCATAATAATAAAGTTAAAAAGGCATTGCCTAAATTCACTTATTTTCTGTTTATACTGTTGTTTCAGATAATATCAAAACTTTCTAAGGCTTTGTATTTTTGAATTATATTATCCTTGATAGTCTTAACTTTAAATCCTGTTGCAAACTTTGACTGCTATAAGCATCTTTTCTCATGTTTGAAGCAAAAGAAAAAAAGCTGCAATACCTTACATACAGAAAAATGGTAAAAGAAGGATGTGGTAATTTGGAGCATGGTTTTAAATTAGATGTGATCAACCGTAAAGCAGCGAAAAAAGAAGAATAGCTCCATAAAGTCAACATTCTTCTGTAATTCTGCCTCCAGTTTGCTTTTCAGCATATAATCATATGGCAAAATAAGGGTGTTTACAGGTGGGAAACGGGAAGTTAAATTGCCTCAGGTATGTTTTCATACCAGTAATTTATTTCTCATCATATTTTTTTATCCCGACTCAGCCAGATGTCTTCAGTCATTCTGACGGAGGGATCTCTGCTTTCAACACGAAAAGGGAAAATAAACCTATTTAGAAATGAAATCCCACAAATCCATAAACCGAAAATGTAAAGTGGAAATAAAATCATGTTCATCTTTAAATGTTTCTTTTAGAGATACCGCTATTTTTTCTCAGTTGAAATATAAGACGTTATGTTTTGGGTTATATGCAAGGATATTGATCTAAATGGGGAATATTTGTCAATATGTTGCATCCCGTCCTCTTTCATTTATTCTCTGCAACCATTACAGATCTGAGGAGACACATTCCTTTAGAGATGTATAAAAGATTACAGGTTGCTAATAAAGCTCTAAGAAACACCTGTTTTTAAAAATATGATCAAATGATAAAAACAGATATTAACAAATCTGTTGGCACCTAAAAATTTGTTATAATCCTTAATAAAGACCAATCGGTGATAGTCAAAGGTCCCTCTATCCAAATTCCATTTCCTTCCTCAATGTCATACACAGTGATGGTTCCAGCCCAGATGGTGTTCTGACATCATCGGGGGATCACGGGGGATCATAAGGACACTAAACAATAGATGCTTTCTCTGTTAGTCAGGTCTCCAGTTTTGAAAATAGGATCCATCCCTAATGAATCTCCTGGAATTGCCTGCTTCACTCTGCATAGATTTCATTAAATTTTAAAGCATTTTGAAACTCAATCCTCATGCAGTATATTACAATGCTTTCTTAAACAGTTTAAATATTCATTTATATGTTTGTTTGTTTTCCTCTTATCATTTCTGTCTCCAAGTGTAATTTACAGCTATGTCAAAAAGTCCTTATCCTCTTACTTATTTTCCAGTTTTCCTGTAAAAATGCAACTATTGTATATTATACTAAAAACAAACAGACCACTATAGCAGAGATACCCAAAGTTGGGGTCAAGGTATCCTGGAGGGACGTGAGGCACCAAATGGAAGGTCATGAAATGGATTTCATAATCATTAAGAGGTTTATATAAAGGGCCTAAAATCCATCATGAGATATATACATGTTAAAGTGCCTAAAATTTATTGGATAACCTATCAAATAATTAGCTGTTTTTGTTATATATCAGAGGTCTTCAACAAGGGGTCCGTGTTCCTCGGGGGTCCACGGAGGTACTGCATGGGGGTCATGAAAGTTTTGGTTTATCAGACTTATTTATATTCACCCCTGCATTTTTTTTTCCCACTAATTGAAATGTCTTTAAATCCATAATAACAAGAATTCAGCACACTTTAGTAAACAGATAAATTGAGGCAGAAGATGTCTTTCAGTCATCAATCCACACATCCAGCGACACACAGGAGCTCTTTCAAGCTGGGCACAGTTTCATTCACAACACCTTTCCCATCAACGTGGAAACAGAAATACTTTAATAATCCCAGGGAGAAATTACTTTCGTTACATGACTTCATCTGTAATGGATTGACTATAGGACCAGGTTGATATAACACAATTTTATACAATATATATATTTAGGAGGTCCCCGCTCCATCTCACCATCAGTTTGAGGGTCCTTAGATTGGAAAATGTTTAAGACCCTTGTTATATATAATTCAATTATTAAACAAAATAAGATTAAATAAAAATTAAATGCAAAATTAAATTATTAAATTTCCCATTAAATTGTTAAAACACATTTGAAATTGTAATTGAATTAATATGGTTCAGGTAAAATTAAAGTTATTTTAAAATATTATAATTACATTACTTTTATTTATAAATAAA